AAACATCTGAAGGAAATAAAAAGTTTTAAGAATACGAGTTTTTTTCTCATATATATATATATATATATATATATATATAGGGTTTATTTCAAATACAACCTATCGTATTTGTACAACCAATGCAACCCAATAAATTGAAATATTTATGGAAATGATTAGAGTTCATTTATTATGATTTAAATATTTATGGAAATATTTATTATCATTTAAATATTTATATATATATATATATATATATATTATTGATAATAAATACACATGTTATTTTCCCTTAAAATATATTTCTATTTTACCTTGCCAAAAGAAGTGTCATATGTTAAACTAATATGATATAAGTAAAATTATGTTTTTTTTACCATTCAGTAATAACCATCTAAAATTAATATCATTGTAGTCCACATTTTCTTGTATAAAATATTTAAATAATTATTTTTTTCTAATAAATTACATGTTTTTGTATTTTTTTCTCAGAGAAATCTAATTTTTTTTATTAACCTGGATATCCAATCCGCTATGCGAGCCGACTAATCCTAGTACGACTACCTGCTTTGCAGATAATCCGGAGTCACCGCATTTAAACCTTCATGGCCACAAGAGAAGTCTACATTTAAACTTTAAACCTATACTAAATATAATTTCTTGATTCATGCTAATATACGTGGATCAACAAATAAATGGTCACACGCGTTTATGAATTAATGGATCTTCAAGATTTAATCTCGATCATAATAAATGTTGATAAAATTAAATGCTTAATCTTTGTAGATTTCTCTTTTATATTAGGAAAAAATCTAAAAAACCCAATGAATTTTATTGTTTGTAATGATTAAATCATTGAATAATTTTTTGAAACAAATAATTTTTTGAAACAAATAATTTTTTGGACATTCCAAAACATGTTAAATAAATTCTTGGATTTTTTAAAACATGTTAGATACAATTTTATAACCTATAAAACTAATTAATATGATAAAATAAGGAAAAAAGCCTTGAAAAAAAAGCCAATGAACTTTCATATTTTCAACGATTAAGTCTCTAAACATTTCTTCAACCAAAAAAGTACTTACATATATAGAATAAAACAAATATACCAAAAAACACCTAACTTTTAAAAAATTATTGATGAAATATATTTTGATTAAAAATAAAAAATATTTTGTCAGTGATTTTCGAAATTAAAAAAATAAATAAAATTTAAAAAGTATCACTGATTATATTTTTTAATTAAAAATAAAATATATTCTATATATAATATCTCAAATTAAAAAAAAATAAAAAAAGATTTAAGAAAGATTACAAATAAAATAAAAATATATATTTTGTATTTAATTAAAATAAATTTTATCAATAATCTTTTAAATCTTTCTTTTTTAATTTGAAAAATCACATACATGATATATTTTATTTTTGATTAAAATAAATTTAATCAGTAATTATTTTTAAATATTTTTTTTATTTTTTTAGTTTGAAAAATCACTGAGAGAATATATTTTATTTTTAATTAAAATAAATTTTATCAATAATCTCTTTTAATTTTTTTTATTTTTTTAGTTTAAAAAATCACTGAGAGAATATATTTTATTTTTAATTAAAATAAATTTTATCAATAATCTCTTTTAAATGTAAGTATATTTCGTAAATGTAAGTAATTTTTTGGTATATTTGTTTAATTTTATAGATCTAAGTTCTCTTTTGGTTCAAAAAATGTTTAAAGACTTAATCGTTCAAAATATTTTGAAATGTCCATTGGCTTTTTTTTTCAGACTTTTTTTTTTTAATTATTTTACCATATTAACCAGTTATATAGGTAATAAGAATGTATCTAACAGGTTTTAAAAAGTCCAATGAGTTATTTAACATGTTTTAGTAATTTTTTAGACCTCTACTAATGACATTTTTTTCTAAGGCCCAAATGAGAGTCGAGAGCTAGAGACCGAGAGAGTAGAGACGATTCAGAAACAAGAGCTAGCCAAGAGCCAGAGACAATTTTGATTCAGTCCAATCTTCCAAAATCGAGATTGAGAGCGAGAGCGAGAGGTTAGGTCAGAAACATAAACGAGAGCGAGTTTGTCTAAATCTTTATCGATAGTTTGTGGTTTTATCTGTAACAATCAAGGCATTACTTGGAGAAGTGATATTGATTTACTTTTAATAATTTGTGGTTTATTTATAACCGAAATATATGATTTAATCTATGGTAAAAATTTGAAATGTTATTTTTCACTACAAAACACTGCACTTTTTCTCGCAGAAAATCATCAAAAATCTGTCGAAAAAAGTGATTTCTAATAGATTTTCCTGCCGGAAGTTTCTTCACCGGAAAAACACTATTTCTGACAGAATTTTTGGCATCACTGATTTTTTTTAAAGTTTTAAAATTTTCTTGACTTAATTGATTAAATTAATAATTATGACTAATTATTGGCGGATTAGTAGCAGATTAATCCGTCGGAATTTAGAAAAAATGTTAGCTGAAAATAATCATTTAACTAATTAAATTTGCAATGGATTAATTTCTCGCTAATTTAATTAAATTTTTAATTATTTTCAATGAATAATTATTAAAAAAGAATTATGGCGGATTAATTCATGGGTAATTGTACTAAATTCATGTTTTTATTGATTTAAAATCAATAAAAGTTGTAAATTTATGCATATATCCTTGTATATATTCACCATTTGAAGTGTAGTAACTTAACTTGACTCTAAAGGTCAAAAATATCAGGAGGCCTCAGGTTCAAATTCAATGAGAAATAAAAATCCCCTTATGGCCACGGAAGTTTAAATGCAGTGACTCCGGGCTATCTGCAAAGCAGGTGGTCGTCCTAAGATTAGTCGGCTCGCATAGCGGGTTGGATATCTAGGTTAATAAAAAAAAAAAAAAAAATAACTTAGCTTTATTATATCAAGAATCCATCATAATCCGTATACATTATCAATCTCATATATATT